CAGCAGACACAGGCGCCGACGCCTAAAGCAAAGCTAGGGCGTTACGCAGGGAGGTGAGCACGAGATACTAGGGGAACTCGGGAGGAATCGAGAAGGCTTCGCGGAGGAGGCGACTATGAGCTTGGAGGTGAAGACTGAGGGTTTCTCCAGGCCGGAAAGAGAGAAGAGGGTCCCAGGGAGGAAGATCAGCCCGGGGGGCCGTACGGAGACGTGAGTGCATTTGGTGTCAGGGAAACAGGTGGAGTTCAGAGTGTGAGGTCCAGTGTGAGGCAGAGGCAGGAATGGGGTTGGCAGGGCCTGGGGTCAGCCAAGGAGCACAACTTTTATCCTCTCGGCAAGCAGCAGGGAGCCCCCGCAGCCTTGGCGAGACGGCAGCCTGGGCATTTTGGTGCAGAACCTGGCGCGGGGTGGAGGAGGCACTGGAGGAGGGACGGGACGATGGCAGGGGGACAGCGGTCTGGGAGGGCAGGTGTCGGTACCTGAGCCCAGGCCGTGGCAGTGGGAAGAAAGTGCCGGCCGGATTGGAGAGGCGTCCAGGGGAGACTCAGGGGACTTGGTGGCCAGCTGGGTTGCCTGAGGGACCTTCAGTGCCCTTCTCCCACCCAACCCAGCCAGCTCAGACTCATCCTCTGGGACCAAGCCTCCCCTGCACTGTTCACAGTCTTCACATCCTTGTCCCAGTGGTCTGTTACACCCCTCTGTCCTGACTGTCAGCTCCTTGAGACCAGGGGCCGTGTCTATTACCCATTTGTGTCTCTGGCGTCCAGCAAGTTCCTGGCACTTAGGAAACGCTCAGCAAAGCGTGTGGGGCAAAGGAGAATGCAGAGGGGCAGGGGCTCTAAGGTGACGCCCAGGTGTCCGGCTCGGGCATCTGGGTAGGTGGCGGGGCCACTCATTGAAATCAGAGAATTCGGATGGAGCAGGTTTGGCTGCAGGGGAATAGAGGAGGGCACTGTGCTGGTTCGGGACACGTCACATCTGAGATTCCTGGGCCAGAACAGTCTTAAGTTCCCCAAAATGAGAACTTCCCTGGGTCTGACATCGCTGAGCTGCCTCCGTTCCCTTGAAGAATTCTCCACAAATGACGACACGAACTCTGAGGGTCACCTTAGCACCCTTGCCCCCGGCCCCCCTGGAGAGGGCGGGGGTGATGAGGGACAGCTCCTTACAAAGAAGGAGCGACCAAGACTCCAAGCCCCCCATTGCAGCCCAGATGCTGGGGGTCTCCTGTCCTGCCAGGGTCAGACCCGCTCATGCCGGAAGTGGTGGGAAACAGGCCTCACCCCCAACACGTAGAGGACTGGCTGGTGGGAGGGAGGGGAGGAGGAGAGAGGAAGGGGTCAGAGGAGCTGGGTACAGACCTGGGCAGCAGAACAGGGCGGAGATGGCCCAGGCGGGACCAAGGAGGCAGCCAGCCCACCTCCTCAGCAGCTCCGAATCCCATTCCCCCTCCCCGCCCCAAAGGACCACTGGCCACACTCGCCTCCCCTGGAGGCCCCCCAATGGGCAAAGTGGCTCTGTCCCCATGTGTTGGCCCGCCAGCCCCGCCCAGCACCTGGATCTGCTCGAAGGGGACCTCGAAGCTGAAGGACTCGTTGAAGTAGGGGTTCAGAGTCTTCTTCTTCACCGTCGTCTTCTTCTTCTTGAGCCTCTTGCCGCTCTGCAGCAGGTGGATCTTCACATAGGGGTCTGCACGGGAGAGGCGCGGCCCAGAGGTCCGGTCAGCCCCACCCGCCCGTGGCCACTGAGTCCAGAAGAGTGAGGGCGGCTTGACGATGTCTGTCCCAGGCAGGGCGGAGGACTGCTAAGGACGACCTCCACCTGCCATCCCTGACCTTGCAGACGAAAAACCAAAGCCCACAGAAAGGACATGATCTGCCAAGGCCACACCATGGGTTAGGGACAGGGCTGGCAGCTGGACCTGCTAGTCAAGCCCAAGCACCAGCTGCTGCTCGGGAAGGTGCGGTGATTGGCCATGCCACCACCGGAACATCCCACCTGTGCTGCGGGCCAGCCCCACCCAGAGCACTCCCCTCCTCCAGCCCCCTTCCACAGCAGAGCCCCAGAGCCTGTCCTGGAGAAGCGTCACAGATTTTGGTGGCACCACAGATGGCGAGCCCCGTCCACTGCCTATGCTTCCCTGACAGGAGAATCCTAGGTTACTGACTCATCTGAGGGGTCCTTTCTCCGGTGGCGCCCAGGGCCTGGAAGGGGAGCACGGGAAGGCAGTTCAGAGGGTCAGGGAGCCCTCAGAGAAAGTGGGAGTCAGCAACTAGACTTCTGCTACCTGGTCCTGCCCCCAGGACCCGCAGCTGTTGGGAGACCCCTCCCGGTGGGTGTGCATGCTGGGTGTGCGTGCTGGAGCTCCAGCAGAGACTGACTCGCTGCTGCCACCCAGTGGCAGCCAGAAGCTCTGCACGTACCTGAGAGGCCGCCCACGTCCATCTTCTTCAGGTTCTTGGCCTCCAGGATGCAGACCGTGAGCTTCCCGGCCGTGGGCACATAGCGCAGGGAGGTGCAGATGTCCCCCAGCTTCTCTGGCTGTCCAGAGAGAGAGAAGGGACCTGGAGTCATGTCAGCCATCCCACTTTCTCTAGCAAGGACGACCAGTCTTCCTGAGACTAGCAAGGCAGTGGTGTGAGCCCAGCTCCCTCCATCCCCAGGCCCCACAATCTGATGGCTGAGCAGGCGTCTCAGTGGCTGACCCCGTGACCTCCTGCCGCTGCCCAACACAGCCCCTCAGGGTGACCAGGTGGCATCAGGGCTCATGTCCAAGGGCCCTGGAGATGGAGTATCTCGGGAGGCTTCCTCCAATTCCTCCTCCCACTGAGCCAGCTCCCTCCTGCTGGCCATTCCTCTTGCAGAGCGATGTGTGGTTTTTAAAGCACTTTGCATCTCTTATGTCGCTGTCCCTGCAACTCTTTCATGCAGACAGTGCGAAGGTTCCTTGTGACCAGCGAGAGACAGGTTTGGGGGGAGAGGACGTGCTCAGAGTCCCATGACAACTGGGCACAGGGCCAGGGGGAGTGGAGGAGCCAAGGCTCCTGGCTCCCAAGACCGCTGCCGACACCCGCCGCAGTCACAGCTCAGAGATGGGCCACCTCACCCCCGTCGGGCCCTGGGTGTGGGCCCTTCCTCAACACACGCAAACCCTCGGGTGAGGAAAGATGTCTCAAGCGTCTCTTCTTGCCCCTGCATCACTACCAGGGACTATGCCCAGCACACTACAGGAGCTCGGCCGAGACAAACGGCGTGTTTGGGTCCACGGAGAGTGCTTGCTAAGTATTTGGTAAGTGAGTGAACGCTGTGGCCGTTGCTAGAGGGACACGCCCCAATGCTGAGAGTCTTTTAGAACAAACGTGGGCTCCCCTTGTGGGTAAACTGAGGCAGAGCCCGGACTCACTGGCTCTAAATGACAGAAGTTTCGGAGTAATAGAGTGAGCATGTTGTTTCCTTGAGCACCCACCAGATGCCACGCACCTACGAGACATGAGCTTTACACAGATGTCATCCCCACTGCAGAGAATGAAGGAGAACACCCAGGTCCAAGGACATTAGGCGAGGAGCCCAGGGCCACACAGCCAGACCCTAATGCGACCCAGAAGCTCGGCCCCAGCGCCATCATGCCCGGTCTCTGCCCTCACCTCCTCCTTCTCCCCGCCCTGCAGGTCCCGCCACTCCTCGACGGGCTGGCCCAGGTCCACGGTGTTCATGGGCACCTTCACCTCCCCGATGATGTCGTGTTTGGAGAAGCGGTCGAAGTCGTAGATGGCCATCACCAGGGTTTTGCCCCCCAGCTCCTGGTATGGCACCTGCAGGCACAGAGGGGCAGAGAGGGCAGCTAGGGGTGCTGTGGGCAGAGCTCTGGCCTGCGGGACTCCTGGCCAGTCTGTAGAGACACAAGTCCCCTGAACCTGGGGAGCAGAGCACAGGGTGGGGAATCCTGGTCCTCCAGGGGCCTGGGCGGAGTCTCACATGTGGCCACTGTCCCCAACGGAACTGCCTCCCGGACCTCAGCTGCAGCCAAGGACCAAGGAAAGGCCTGCAGCTGGGACCTGGTAACGGGTCAGGAGGCACCCGGCACCGACATCCAGCCCTTGTCACCTTGAAGGTGAAGGTTTCGTTGAAGGCAGGGTTCAGTGTCTTCCGATGGACTTTGGTCTCGTATTTCTTCTTCTTGTCTGGAAGGAGGAAGACTTTGACGTAAGGGTCAGAGGTGCCGCCCATGTCCAGGGCGGGCAGTTCGGCAGCCTGCAGGACGCCAACGGTCAGCTAGAGAGAGAGTGAGCAGAACTGGCATCTCAGGGCTGGATGTGCCTGGACCAGCCCTGGCAGCAGGCAGCTGCGAGGGGAGGGCAGGCTGGTGCTAGTGAGAGACTGGGCCCCATCTCCACCCCCAAGAATTGGGGACACTGAAGTTGAGAGGGCGACAGGTTTGCCCAGTTGGCGGGCAGGTCTACAGCGGAGCTAGCCAGGGGCCCTTCCCGAGAGCCAGCTGGGCACCTGTGCGGCCCGGATGCCCGCACAGGCCGTGAGGTTCCCAGCCTGCCCACCTCACCCTCCAGCCCAGCCCCGCACACCTGGTTAGCCTGAAAGTCATAGTCCAGGGAGAACTGCAGCTTGCCCAGGTTCTCAGGCTCCTTCTCCTCTTCTCCGTCCCCCTCGCCCTCAGTCAGACCCGTTTCTGCATCGTCATCGTCCTGGCGGGGGGCTGTGGGGAGAAGGGACACGTTACCAGAAGAACAGAGCAGCCTAGCTTTGCACAGGGACAACGGGAAGCCAGCCCCCTGTGCAGACCCTGGCTCAGCACTGGGTATAGGAGGCGTGGTGCTATCCGGGGTACTCACAGCCCCTCAGAGCCCCAGCTCTGCGCTAAGGTGTGCCGCCCCTGCGAGGCCCAGTGCAGGGAGGCCAGGCGCTGTGCCAAGCGCCCCACAGCAGCTCGGGGGGATGGGGGTGCTTCCCTTGTCGGCCCCTCCCCAATGCCTCTCCCAGCTCAGGCCTCTCCCACCCTGGGCAAGACCTACCGGAGGGCGTCCAGGTGGGCATCCGGGCGGCAGGGAGCGGCAAGTCCACGCAGGCAGGAGGAGGAGGAAAGTGCCATAAGAACAGACCCAGCCGCTGAGACCAGCCGGGAAGTCGGGGAAGTCGGGGAAGTCGCAGCTGCTCGGCGGGGCCGGGCGGGGCTGGGCCGGGCTGGGCCAGGCCCAGGGCGTTCCCGAAGCCCCTCCACACACCAGCTCACACACAAGCACACAAAGGCCACTTTGCTCCCCGGCTGACTTCCTGAGATCAGGCACTTCCCTCCATCCTCCCCCGTGTTGATTCCTTGAGCAAAAGATTCTTCCCAGTCACCCCAGCTGAGAAAGTGAAGCCAGAAGTCTCTGTCAGCTCGAAAAAGGGAACTAGGGCCTTCTGGGCTGAGCAGCCCTAAGGACGAAGGACCAGTAAGCAAACCCAATTTGACCGGCCTAGGGACGCCCGCCGGGCCCCGCCCGCCCCAGCCAGAGGTGGTCTCCAGGCCCCGTGTGGCCTCCTGGGGCGCTCTTTCCCAGGTTTTGTCCCAGTGGGGGGCCCGTCGTGGCCTCGGGGGCGGGCTGCAGGGCCGCTCGAGGCGGGAGCCCCGTCACCCTACCTGTGCCCCTTTCATGTCCTTCATGCTCATGGCGTTCTTCGCGCCCTTGGCTTTCTCCTTCTTCTTCTTCTTCTTGCAGCAGCATTTCTTGCAGACGCAGAAGCAGCAGGTGAGCAGCAGCAGGCCGGCGACCACGGCGATGGCGACCAGCGCCCAGGGCGGCACTGCCCCGCGGGGAAGGCCGGGTCAGCGCCGCCTGCCTCGCAGCCCCGCGCGTGCGGGGTCTGCGGCCTCCAGCGCCCACGCCCCGTATCTAGTCCCACGCTCACTGCGCATCTGCAGGTGAGATGCTTGACGCGCCTTTCATCATTAACACCTGGCTCTGCCCTTAGCTGCCTGAGGATGCACCTGCCCGAGGAATGGCAGCAGCCAGGAGATGGGAGGGCCCTGTCAGACGGGTGGGAGGACCCCGAGGCCCACCCCATGCTCAGTCTCCTGGGGGCTGGCCCTGGGTGGCTCCCCGTGGTCCCCAAAGCCCCTCTCTCGCCCTAGGGCTGCTCCTCCGCAGGGCCTCTGGGAAGTGAGTAAGCAAGGGGACATTTATTTTCCATCTTCCAAAATAAAGTAGTTTCCAAGTGTGACTGGAGAACGTGAGTAGTGATTTGTTTCATCATTTTTCATCTTATTTTGGCTTTACCTTTCGAGTTTTCTAGATTTTACAAGAACGTTGTCCCCTTGGAGGTTGGGGCACATAAACCCCTTGCTCCCCTCATCACGCCAGTCCACACGCCCTCATTCTTGCCTCCCCAAATAATCCAGCCTGGAACCCGAACATTAGGAAACAATCCAGCCAATCCTGTCGCAGCGCTGCCCCTCAGCCCCGCCCACTAGGCCCCGCCCACTAGGCCCTCCCTAGCTCCGGCCTCCTCGCCAGCCACAGGGGCACTCACAGGGGATCTTGCTCATCTCATTGAAGAACTTCTCCTTCAGCTCCGCGAACATGTCCTCCTTGGTCTCCCCGGCGCCCCCACTCTCGGTGGAATTGTCCGCAGGCCCGACCGGCATCGTGGCCGTGGTGGTGGCAGGAGCCACCATGGGCTCCTGGTTCCTCTTGAAGATGTTCCTCATGGTGGCACTGGGGACAGCTGTGAATGAGAAGGGAAGGGCGAATGAGCACCCTGGGGATCTGGGTGGGGAGGGGCTCCTGCCCTCCCAGTGCGTCACCCACCATGTCTCGGCCCAGCAGGCAGAGGGCCTGTTGTCGAAACAAACCACAGGCTCCTCATTCCATCACGGACATCCCTGCACAGCCTGCGTGTCCCCGCCTGTTCCTCTGCTGCCTCCTGCACGTGCGTGCGTCCGTGTAAACACACACACGCGCACACACACACACACACGGGCACCTGCCCTTCCCTTGCCTAAAACGCTGTCCCCGCAGACCTCCACGCCGCTCCCGCTCCTGCTCGGCGAGGTCCTTGTCACCGCCGAACTTAACGGCAGCCCCGAGGTCCCTCAGCACCTCCTCCCCAGCCCCCACTCAACTCTCTCCACAGCACAGATCACCGACACTGTGCATGTTGTGTCTTTCACTTGTCTCCTGTTAGTAGGATTTAAGACCCTTGAATTCAGGGCCTTTGGACTAGCACGTAGTAGGTGCACAGCAAGCTCACGGTAAGAACTGGGCAGGTCAGAGGCTGTCTCTGGTCACCCACGCTCTCTAGCCCACGTCTGTGGTCTCACCAGCCACTTGCACAGTGCCGGGGTGTCTAGAAGGAGACAGACTTCCACACCCCTCTTTGGGTGTTTTTCGTCCCACCAGAAGCTAAGGAAACAGAGATGCTGACAACGTGCCACCAGTTCCCAAGGCTCCTGTGGGAAGAAGAGGCCCAGAGAGGTGTAGCGACTTGTCCAAGGCCACACAGCACAAGCTGCTGGTGGCAGCGCTGGGAGCAGAGTCGAAGACCCTGGGCCCCCGTCCAGTGCCCCACTTAGGGAGCAGGGCACCTGCGTCTGAGCAGAGACGATGCCAGAACAGCAAGTCGTCGGGGCTGGACGGCTGCCCCCACTTCCCTCCCCAAAAGCTCGGGGTGCAGCCCTGGAGAATCAGCAGCTGCAAGGGCTGCAGATGACAAACGACCCGGTGCTCAGAGACCGCAGGACAGAGTGAGCGCCTGTTGGCTCAGAGCCACCTGGGCAGGAATGGCACCGCTGGGCAGAGAAGGCTGCGTGCAGGGGTCAGGCCTGTGGACGGAGGAGCCTGGGAGGCTGCCCCGGGAGACCCCTGGGGAGGTGTTAAGATGCAGGTCCCCAGCCCCACCCAGCTCAGTGGGCCGTTCGCTCTGATGCAGGTGGCCAGTGGCCACACTGGAAAAGGTCAGAGATTTCGGGGAGGCTCCCCACAGGGGCTGAAGCGGTGGGTGGGAGTGAAGTGGGCCTGCAGAGCCCGGTGGCCGGGTGGGGTCTGCTACCGCTCAGCACCGCGTGTGACCCTGGGCCCTCCCCTCCGCCGCAGCCGCAGGGCCCCAGCAACAGGAGACGGTGTGAGCCCTGAGGTACAGCGCACTCCACCAGAGCCCAGCAGACAAGGGCCCCTCTGCCCCTCGCCTGCTCGCCGAGTCCCCCCACCCAGCACCTGCAGGGTCCCCCACATGCACACAGGGTCTTCCTGGGCTGGCACCAGGTGCCTGAGCAACCTGGATAGGTGACTGAGTGGGGACACATGGAAGCTTGGGGACCAGCAAGCATCGAGGTGCCTGCTGTAGGTCATGGGAAGTGGGGATGCACAGTTGGGCCTGGGAGTCTGCCCCCAGAGTGTCACAGGGCCTCGGAGGACCTGGGTGTGTACGAGCTGTGAGCGTGAGGCTTGAGGGTAGGACCACGGGGTCCTGGTCGCACTGAGCAGAGGCTGGGGAGCACACGGGGGAAGCGAACTCTGAGGCTCAGCAGTGTTTATGTGACGCGATTGATGGGCCGCTGCTCTGCCACATGAGAAGTCAGCCTTCACGCCAGATGCACATCTTCATTTTGAGCTAAAGAACATTAAAAATCGATGCATCTTCTTCTTGACTGAATGTTACAAGCTTTGAATGCACCAGCTCTGTGGAGCGCTGCCCTGCCCAGGCCAGAGGCTGGGGATTTGGCTGAAAGCAAGGGCCTGTCAACGTGAGCGTGCGTGTGCACGTGTGCACAACGTGTGTGTGAGTGCACAGGTGTGGTTGGGAGGGAGGAGCAGAGCTGGGCTGGGTGGCAGGTGCCTCAGTCACTATGAGAAAAGTCAGAGGCACCTGAGACACCCCAGCCCCCGCCCCGGCTTGGACGAGGGCTACTCCACACAGCTAGTCACTGGCCCAGGCCGGAGTCAGTCTCAGACCCTGGAAAGGAGGAGGCTGGGGGCAGACTGAGGCCCCTTTGGCCGAGTGATGCAGAACGCACCCACAAACTGGTGTCAGCACCAAGGACAGGCCGTCCACACACTCAGGCGGAGCCCACGACGCGGCTGGGAAGGAGCGTGGCGGGAGGCCGGGCAAAGATCAGTGTGTGCAGGTGCACGCATGTGCCATGTGTATGTGCACGTGTGAACATGTGCAACGTGAGTGCATCATGTGTTTGCACGTGTGCGAGTGTGCATGCACCTGTGCCATGTGTGAACACATGCAATATGAGTGCATGTGTGCCTGTGTGCATCATGTGTTTGCATGTGCATACAGAAACACCGTGTGTGTGGGTACCATGCATGAATGGTGGGTGTGCATGTGTGTCATATGGCCACATGTGGGTCAATGAGGCGGCCTGGGGAGAGAGAATTGGGGTCCAGGCCACACCACACGTCTAGGATCAGAGTGACATCTAAAGGCCCTGTCCTCGGCTAATAAGGAAGACAGACTCCAGCACGAGTCACCTTTCAGAGCCACAGGGTCTTGGGCGTGGAAGGGACCACTGCAACATTACTGTCACCTCTTGCCCCTCTGTCTGGGGACGGGACCCTCGGCCTCCAAAGGGCCATGAGGTTTGGAGCTGGGCCCTCTGCCTTCTCTCCACCCTTTGCAAAGTGGCTTTGGCCTCCCAGCTGCCCTCAGCTTTCAGACGTGGTTCCTGAGACGCCTGGAGACCTTCATCCAAGTATGAGCAGCACGAGGGCTGGGTCTGAGACCAGACGGGGACTGCAGAATGCAGGTGTCCCCGTGCGGCCCCGGGAGGCAGGCGGGTCTCGGCGGCATCACTGTGTCAGCTGCAGACAGAGGGCGAGCCGCCTAGTCTCCCAGGAGCATGTGAGATGCTCATTACCGCCAGTGCCTCTGACAGGCCGTGGTCTCCAGGAACTTAAGTGGGTCGTGTGGGTCCCGGGGGCACAATTACATTCCCCAAAGAAGTGGATGTCCTCCCCTGGCCTGGGGGAGGGACAGATGCCCGTGCCAAAAATGGGAGGACGGCTGTGTCAGGATGCTAACAGGCGGGAGGACGGAGGGGACTCAGGGAGGCTCCAAATTGTAAAGTCCCAGTGTGGACTTCTGCATGGGTCCAGCCTACGAGGCTGTGTCCCTGAGGAGAAGGAGCCAGGTGAAGCCGGATGCGGCCAGGTGAAGCACAGGGAGGGCGCATGTGAGTGAGTGCCTGGCCCCAGGTCAGATGGCCTGGCGTTGCTTCGGCTCGGCCCTGGTGGCCACGTGAGCTTGGGCAGGTGGCTTCTCTCCCTGTGAAGTGAGGATGAGGGTGGGACCTGCTCAGAGGCTCCCGGGGCCCGGGAACAGTGTGGGCATAGCATGACATGATGCCCACGTCCCTTCCCAGGGCGCTGGGCTGGGTCGCAGGGGGCACACGGCAGCTCCCATGGGCAGAAGCCGGCAGCCTTCCTGACAAACGCCCCCAGCCCTTCTGAGGCCCAAACCTGGGCCGGGTCCCCCTCTGGGCTGTCCACTGTCCCAGGCTCTCCGCTGCCTGTGCCCACTCACTGACAAGCCTTCCCTCCACCTGCCCTTGACACTCAGCGTGGTGGCCCCTCAGGCTATGGCCACTGAGCTCCCTTTGTTCTAGTTCCCAAGCTCTTGGGTGGGGGTCTGACAGTCCCTCCAAGCGGGGAGCAGAGTGCAGCTGCCCACTCCAGCCACCACTCCCTTCTGTAGATGACAGGCTCAGGGTGCAGAGACACAGGCGCCCAGACGCACCACGGGTGGCCCAGCTGAAGCAGTGGGTGTGGCCGGGAGGGGGCTGCTGGGCTGTGGCTCTGGGAGCCGTTGGCACAAGGTGGCAGGGGCTGGGAGGACAGTCACCTGGGGAGAGTGTGGCAGAAGGGACCAGAGATGGGAATGGCAACCTTCAGAGGGTCGGCAGGGAGTCCTGACGGTGAGGGTGGGGACACGGGGCCCTCTGGGGGCGTGCCATGTTTGCACACACCTCGTGACTCCAAGTCACACCTCAGCCAAGAGCGACGCGAGCCTGTGGAGCAGGCAGAGCTGCGAGCTGGCCGGCGGCCGGCGCTCCCGCCACGCGCGAGCCTCAGCGGTGGCACAGGGCGGACTCGCCGCAAGCCAGGCAGTTCCGCGGCTCGGAGACTGGGAGGGACGTCACAGGCAGGACTGGGGGGAACATGGTGGTGGCCCGGATGGGATCCGAGGTCCCCAGGACAGCCCCGCGGGTCTGAGTCTTCATCCCACCGTGATGCTCCAGGGACGGCAGGGGCCTGGTGGTCACAGGCGGTCCCCAGGCCAGGGCCACCTCCACCTGCTCGGCCCTGGCCCGTTCACACACTGGGCAGTGACCGAGGCCCCGGAAGTCCACCTGGGATTCGCTGCTGGGCGACAGCATGGCCCTCGCACAGGGTGAGTGCGGGAAGGAGCCTCAGGGCTGCCCACCCGCCTCGAGGACACGGGGCCATGGTGACC